ACCTGAGATGACATGATGGGAATTGGAGCTATAGAAATAAACTGAATTGAATTTAAATTATTTGCTCTGATGATATTCTGGGTTCCTTTGTGACATCTTGAAATTGAGGAAAAGGGTCTAAAAAAAAAAAAAAAAGCACTTTTGAAAATATTATTTGAGAGCAAAAATATTAACTCTCCTTATTTGTTGTTGGTCTATCACATAAAACCTGTTCAAATAAAGTGAACCTTTTGTTTTAAACAACACAACATGTAGAGTACCATTAAAAAGACCCCAAATAACAACATTTTTACTTTTCCAGGCCTTTTATGTAATCTCTACACTGTTTTTTTCTCTCTGTTCAAGTGTTACCGTACATCAGTGCTGGGCTAAGTCTCTCATCTGTGTCCACTTGTGTTCCCTAATGACAAAGCAACAGATGCTTTAGACCAGACTTTGATCTTCTCAGCCTGTTGCTTGTTTTTGAGTTTTTTCCTTTTCCATGACTGATCCCTCTGCAGTTACGGGACAAAGAAGCTATCCTCAGTTGGTTCTTCCTGTATCCCCCCCCCCTCCTTAGTCTTCTTGCTCTCGGAGGTGGAGTTAGTTGCTGAGAAGTGAGCCGGAATCTGTCAATGAAGCAGTTGTAGTTTTAAACACACAGCAGGAAGCAGGTAGTGGAGAAGAAGTGATTTTAAAGGATGAGATTCAGGTGAGAACATTCTTTATTTTCCCAGAGAGCTTTGCTTGTTTTAAAACATTGTTTTAGATGCATTTTTAGTTTTTATAGCAACAATCTGCAACGTGGGACTTAATGCTAATCTTTCCTTCATCAATAACTCATTTTATGCTTGAATTTCTGTGACATGTGCATTTGTAAGGATAAACTTGTTTCTGATAGGTGGAATCTCACTCAACACTTTTGCATTCAAAGAAGCAAACATTATCTTAACACATTAGTGTTTTACTTGTGCTACAGTTTTGCACTTCGCCCCATCTGGGAGCCACTCAGCTCTGGTTGTTTGTTGCAGTCTGGGAGCATCTGAGAGTCTCTTTGTTGCAAACTCTGCTATGTGCTGCTGGATGGCGGCCAAGCATTAGCTTGTGTTTTCAGCAGAATACTTTCCTTCTTCCCACCGGCTGTTTTTTTTTTTTCTCTTTTCTTTGAAATGTGCAAAGCTCTTAGGACCCTGTCATTACTGAAATTAAACGATGCGGCGACCAGATGCATACTGAGCTATGGAGCGGAGCTGTTTGTTGCATGACACATCACATTCTCTCAGTAATAACTGTTTAAGGTTACTGTAGACTCAGTAGCATCATATAAACTGATTTAACATCTTATATGTGATAAAAATTGCGGTAAACACAACCTAGATGTTTCATCAAAGAATGAAGTGATTCTAGATCTCTATGTTTATGTGAAAAGTATTTCCTACCAATAGATTTCACCTTTTTTTTCTTTGTTTTTCATGCTTGCTAACTTCAGATATTCTCATTTGAAAAAATTTCAGTTCTGTGGTTGGATCAATGATGTTTTTTAAAGGAAATGTCCGGTCAGCAAGGAATAATTAATGGATCATTATTTATACCTAAAACAAATACGTTCACTGTGATTTAATTTAATCAGTTTAATCAGGAGAAATAATTTGCTGACTCACGTTTCCAAAGAAGTTGTTGACTCTTTGACTCCAGTCTGTGTGCTGTTGTTCCAGTGTTTGACTGATTCGGTGGAGGGCGGACAGGGTTTACCCAGAATGTGGTTGTTTGTAGGTGAATGGAGAAGCTGACTGCCACTCAGATTTCCTGGGGTACTTGAAATGGTCATAGTGGAGATGAATCTCTTGCTCAGTGTTAAGCTCAAACGATCTCTTGGGGAAAGTAGATCCAAACCTCCA